CGTCTGCATTGAGAATGGTTATTAACGCTTTAACTGATGAAAAAGTACGTATCATAAAAAATTCATTACTGTTTTTTGCGATGCTTTATTATTGTTGCTTCTTAAAACATTATTATATTGTTCTCGTGTTTCATCCAATGAGATTTCAAGTTCAACCAATTTTTCACATCGATTTTGTAAATCGAGCATTAAATCTTTCTTCATAAGATCAAAATCAGCCAATTGTTGTGCCATGTCTTTTTCTATATCTGCAACATTTTTCTGGTTATCAGATTCTCCTTCCTTTTCTTTATCATTCTGGATTTCATAACCGGCATGAGAAAAACAATTAAGTCTCTACTCAAACATGACTTCAAATAAAAATATCTCACCGAGTCATTCTTCGGAAATATTATTTTCTGTAATTCTTCATTTTCCCTTTTTAAATCAGTAAGAGCGCTTTAAAATGATAGAATTACACACATTTTAAATTTGGAACATGTAAAATATTGAGAGAAATTTGTAGGTCAAATTAAAGACAAGACACACTAACCTGTAAAGTTTATGTAATTCTTCATTTTTTTTCTCAATCTCTTGTTTCAATTCTTCAATTTCTTTCTGCTGTACTTCTTTCTTGGCAGAGAATTGAGCCTCAAGTTTACCCTATATAGATCTTAGTTAATAAATTGATATCTAATAATTTGAATGGTTTTCGGACAACTTACCCTCAATTCTGCTATCGATTCGATAATGTCAATATTGCTATTGCTGTTTTCTTCAGCAAATGTTTTATTTGTAAAGGTGGTTATCATAAGCCCATAAATTAACTCTTAGACAAGTTAAATAAACTCTAAGAATTACCTAGTAACTCTTCGTATTCGGTCTCTAAGGTAGATAACCGAATCTCAAACTCATCTCTTTGTCTTGTCAGGCGTTCATTTTCATAGTGAGCTTCATTAATGAATTGTTCGTGTGTTGAAATCAACTCTTTCGATTCAGCCAATTCACGACGTACAGTTGCGAGTTCTTCTAAAGTAAAAGAAATGCTACCATCACCTTCGACGTTTTCAAGTTTGAGTAGAGTGTCACGAAATTGTTTCTCTTTAGCAGAAATCGCATCGGAAGGATCAAGCTCTACAAAAATCTGAGCCAGGTTCTTTTGTTCTTTATCACGAGATAGTTTAAGTCCAAAAATTGCTTTCTATTAATTTCATATAAATTGAATAAGAATATGAATTGTTAACTAAGATATCCGTTTTCAAGTCTTTAAGTGTAAAAGTTATAAAATATATAAATATCGAACACCTTAAGTTCTTCGATCTCGGTGGCTAAGTCTGAATTTTGCTCACGTAAACTGTCCATTATTATAGCATCTTCTTTATGATCATATGTGACTTTTTCCAACTGAACCTTAAGCTCATTAAGTTCAATTGCCATTTGATTGTTTTCCTGTTGCATTTTGAGCAAAATGAATAATTTGTCAGAAAAATTAATGTGGGCTCGATTTAAAAATATAAGCCCTGCTAAAATCCTCCTATACTCTTTAAATATCAAATCTAATCCTAAACCCTAATCTAACCTAAAAAAAAAAAAAAAAGAGCGAAAAAAAAAACTCCAAAAAATTTTAAAATTTCATATAAAAATTTCAGCATCTGCATCAGCCGCGACAATTAATATAATAATGCTAATGATAGATCGTACCTTGAAGATTGTCTCTTTCTGTTCTTTATAAGACTTAAGATCCTCATTTATCTCAACAAGGAAGCTTTCCTTGGTCGTTAATTCAGATTCTTTTTCGGCAATCTGATCATTGAGTTCATTTTCCAGTATCAAGAATTCATTTCGTTCATCTCGTTCAACTGAGGTTTGATCAGGAGTACCCGGTAATGAACCTGTAATTTTTTCTATCGAGACCCATTTACCTTTTGGTACACTACCACCAGAACGCCATAGACCAATTTCTTCTTCGAGGGCTGCAATATATGTTTGGAAGCTAACAGCTTTATATTTTGTATTATTAAGAAGAGCTTTAAGCTCAGCAGGGCCGAGTTCAGCATTGGCTTTAATCTTATTCTTAATGGTCTTAGCCCTGAAAGTTGATAAATAAGTTATTTTTTTAAACATTCGTATTAACAAACAAACTTAACCAGACTTTCCGTAAATTTTTATTTACCTCATACCGAATCTTAACGTACTCAAAGTTTCTGCTTCATTGAAAGAGGAAGGTGAACTGTTTATAATCAAAATTGTCCGGCAGTTACCACCAAGAGATTCTTGAAGAATTATGGTAAGTTTACTGTCTCGATAAGGAATATGTATTGACTATAATGAAATTGAATAAAAATTTTAATGAAAATAAGGTGAAGGTAAAAAACAGTAATGAATTTTTTATGATACGTACTTTTTCATCAGTTAAAGCGTTAATAACCATTCTCAATGCAGACG